AAACAAATTAATCATATATTTGAAAGAGATTACAGTTAGATTATATCTAAGAAAAGAAATGAGGAAGTCAGGAAAGGCTGGATGTTATCTCTGCTGCCATCTTGTGGAAAGGCTTAACTCTGATTTTTCTGCCCAGAAAACCTATAAGCAATGAGAAAATTATATTAATAATAATGTGACAGACTGCAGCTTAGAAAAGGTGGATTATGTAAATGAAATAAATTTGAGTTTAATAAATAACTCATTGCTCTGAAAAATATAGGATAAATAAGTTCTGGAGGATGAGAAAGGAAGAAGATTATATAGTGTTCAAAAATCTGTAATTGTTATCAATTATGGAGAAAGAAGCAGAAGGGAAGAGATTATTTATACTAGATTAAGAACTGGACATACCTACTTGAATGAGTTTTTTGTTTGTACTAGGAAAGAGAAATAATGATATATGTGAGGATTGTGAAAGGGTAGAAAAGGTTGATCATGTTTTGATGGATAGCATTAAATATGTAAATGAAAGAGAGGTTGAGGAAAAAGGGAGATTTTGACTTTGACAGATTTATTTGTCATTTTGTTTCCACAAGTGTAAAACAAAAAGAAATTTCCTTTGGAACAGCTCTCTGGACAATTTCATTTTTTTTAAAGTGCCGCCTTGAAAAATAGTAAGATATATATATAAAAACAGTAATATAAACATATGAATCTGTTGGACCTGCATCCAATGCTTCGAAGCCTCTTCCCAGAGGAAGAGAGAAAGGACTATGAAAGGAATTTTAGTGACAGATGGAGATAGGGAGGAAATGTGGATATTAATAAAGTTGTTTTTATTTTTACAAAAACACAAACATAAAAAAATAGAGATGGAACTATAGAGCTACACACTCATGTACAGTAGGTGGCGGTATGCACCTATAAATTGTTTGCAATCCGCCAATCTAACAAAGAAGAAGAAGTCGCCCTCCCTTCCTGCAGGCGGCGCTAGTGCATAAAGACGTGCTTTATGAAGCCAGAGGAAGTTTAGTGACAGGAGCATGGAGACTGCTAACCGCTGAGCGGTTCTTGACCTTTCATTCTTATATATTTGCCTTGGTTTCAGTAAGTTCATTTCTACACATTTTATACTTATATGGAATCCGTATTTTATATCAACGTCTTTCTCATAATGTTTTTTTTTTTAATAGCGCGGTCTCGATGTTTAAGCTAGTATAGATCCTCCTCCCTCCTACAGTCGATTATGCGACACATTTTCATAAATAAGGTCATATAGAACCAGTAATGTTTATAAAGATGTTCTGGTTATTTGGGAAAACAGAAAAAAAAACATCGATTTTCTAAAAATCATATTCTTTCTGTTCTTACGTCCTTCATGTTTAGATAGTTTGTTTACACAGAATATGGAGGATTTTATTCAGTTGTGGGGATTTAACAACATTTTCTGTGTCAGATGAAGGACAACTACAGTTCAACAAGCTCCTCATTTAAGGAGTTTTAGCTGTTTTTACATTAATGGTGTTTTTTAACTGACACTTGTTTTACGTCAATTTATTATATGTTTTGAATTGTGTAAATAAAGTGTTGGTAAAAGTAATGTTTGTTAATATTTTTCTTTTTCTCTCTCAGGATTCAGTGACAGAGAGTAGAATGTCAGCTAAAAAGGCTTCAGTCCATGCTAAATGGATCATCGGTAAAGTAATTGGGACCAAGATGGAGAAAACTGCCAAAGTGAGAGTAACTAGACTGGTGCTAGACCCCTACCTGCTAAAGGTAAAACTATAAATAGTAGTTTGAGCTGAAACCTGTGCAAAAAACAAAACAGATGGAGTCAAAAAGATAATCTTTGGTTTCGCAGTGAGGAAATTCAAGACTATCTGCAAACAACAAGGGAATGAGTTTTACAACAGAAGAAAAAATACTGTTATTTAAAATTGCACATGTAGATCAAATGTTATGTGCATTTAGGGAAATTTTAAAGTGTACAAAATCTGCATGTATAAATGCATAAAACAAAAAGGTTTAACAAAAAAAATGGAAATCTATAAGTAGCAGCCTATATGTAAACATCATATTTAGTTTGTTGGAGGCAGCGACCTTAACAGCTGCTATGAGGAAAGATCTGCGTCTTTCAACTGGAGGAGCTCTTCAGCTCTGTAACGTCATAGATGGGTTGAGGACGTTGGTATTTTCCAGTGTCCCTCTGATCACATCCCTGAGCAGAACTGGCCTCACTGATGAGCTTGTTTAATGTAAGTCATCAGCAACCCAAAAGAAGCTTTCAGCTTAAGATTTTCACATAAAAGAATCATGGTGTTTATTTATTGTTTGCCTCAAGACTGTATTGTTACATACTTTTAAAAAATGCTGCATAATGATCTTACATTTTCATTCATTACAATTTTGAGGCAACCATCAGTTAACTATATAGAAAATAAAAACGCTTGTTTACTTACCCTGTATTTTGCATTTGTCCACTTTGTATGGATCAATATTAATTACAGCTGCCTTTACTTTGTATCCTTTTAATGAATGAAAGTTAATGCCACTCTTAGTCCTTTACCTATGTACCGCATTCTATAAGTATCCTACATCTCATATTTTTGAAGTCCCTTGCTACCTGTCTGGTCTTTTGGGAGCAATCTGTTCCTCTTAGTGTCGATGAGCAGCTGTGCCAACAAACTACAGCATAGAGGATGACTGATGCCACCAGAGTCGGACTCTTGTAAAAAAAAAAAAAAAACAACATTGAAGGAAACATTAATGGAGTCAGTATTATTACCTTTAGCTGTTGTTTTTATATAGTTATTTATATTTCCATTAGCATTTATTAAATGTTAAGAGCACATTTTGTTTTTCTTTTAAACAATAAACTTAATCTGCATCCTATAAAATTTGACAGAAGCGTTTTATTTCAGAGCAGTACTAATCAGGCTTTTTCTGATGCCTCCCCAATTGTAGTTGTTGTTTTGTTCTTTTTAGATCTGACTTGAAATTGTAATTCTGACCTTAAATGCTTTTCAAATAAATAAACTGAAAAAGGTTATCAAAATTCATGATGTTTGCTGAGATGTTTAACAAAAATAATTTGAATTCTTGGTTTAGTTTTTTTTTTTTTTTTTTTTTTTTTTTAATAAAGAGGAAAATTATCAAATTGACCAAAATCAAAG